CGGCCTCAATCCTACGCATTATTTTGTAAGTGGTGTTTATTTCTTCTCTCGAAAGTCGACCTTGTTTCAGTAGTTGATCCAACTTATCCCGCCCAAGTGAGTGGCCAGTAAAAAGCATTGGCACATTTAGAGCACCGGATAAAAGAGCTGCAGAGTCACCAGCATCAGCGTAGTGGCCATGGATGGCAACTGGCCAAACTGGTTTCCCCCCACCAACTTGTTCACCTAGGACTTTCGACATCTGGATCACATGGCTCAGCGCACCATCAACGAATTCTGGGATGTGAGGCCACAACAGTTCTTTCTCAATATATTTGTCCTTTGGTCCAAACGGTATCCGCACAATATAGGCACCACTACTCTCCCCCATCTCATCTTCATCATCTTCCAAGTTTCTAAGAGTCAACATCTCCGTGGGTTCACCATAGCTCCAATCTACATCTGGAGCTGATACTTGTCTTGTTAACAAATCAACACGATACACTCCTGGCATGGAGCCCAAAGCTCTTGCAAGTTCCACAACATACTTAACCTATGAGGACAAAAGAGCAAACCTCAAAAACTCTTTTCATTGACACTGATAAAAGTAATGAGACCAGTATACTCCAAGGATAAATACCTGACCACCAGTATCCGAGTCACGTCCAAGCTCCATACTTTCTCCTCGTATAAGTCCATGAAGGCTGCATGCATACTACTCGTTAAAAAAGCAAATGGATATATGAAAAGGAAGTCTTAAAGTGCAGCTTAATATCACAAAGGAAATACTCTAGTGACTTCCATCCAGTTTGAATTCAGAGCCTAATTCCTAACAGCAGACGAAACACATCATAGAGAAAAGAAGCATGGAAGAAACAGACTATTCATTGGGATATACTACTGAGTTCTACTTCTATCACATACATTGAGCAAATTAAATACGTTAAGAATATTTAAACACCAAAAGCATAAACTTGAGCTCGTGCCTTATCAGTACAATGTATAGCTTTTTGCCTTTCTGCTGGCTGGCCCATGCTTCCATAGCATCTGCAGAGTTAATCCTGGGCAGTCTTCCGCGGATACTCTCACCATGGGTTGATAGATCACTAGGTGTGTCTCCCTTTTCACCCTCTGACAAGTCTTCTGACATGTCGGCAGTTGCTTCCCTTCGGCCCCTTTCACGCTCAATATGGCGCTTAGCATTAGTCTGAGCTAGCTCTCCCTCAAGCTACAAAAGTTCCAGCTCGCCAATTAGTGATATATTCATCAATTTATTGGCTAACGACTGAATCGAAAACTCGGCAGATAACATTAAAGAAAGTTAAAGTGATCGAATGTTCAAATAGAAGGCAACATAGATTAGAAACCACTTTCGACTCAGGACAAAAAAAACATCGTTGGATTAAACACTTGCTATAATGTATCGAAAAAGGGAGGGAAGCCACAGTTGTCATACATACAAACCCTCCCAACATTTCATTCCCACCAATAACGTTTCATACTACTGTTCATAATCAAAAGATGGAGAGAACCCGTTGATAATCAACTTCCAACCAAACCATCAAGTCAAAAACCATTCAAATTGAAATCCAGAAATCCAATACACGTTCAATACCAATCATCCGATTCATCTGTCCAAAAATGAAGAAAAAGCAGATCATCACCCTGAATCAGAACATCAGTGAAACATTTACCCAAACGGACATCACAATTCCACATATACACCATACCAAACTCAGAAATCAAAGGCCAAGAAAGCTTTGCGAAAACCAAGAACAAACCTGCTTCTTCTGACGAGCCAAGTTCCAAATCCTCCAGCACATATTCTCCAATCTCGTGTTCCTCTCCTGTGGACTCCTAGTCGCTGCAGCCTTTCAATCCACACCACATCCCCCGGAAGAAAAAAAAGCAAACGTATCAAGAAAGCAAAAAAAGAAAGCAATCCCGATTCAAGAACTCCAAAAACCAATCTCCAATCGGGTAAAAAACAAACAAGCCGAGCAAACTAACATCATACTGCCTTACTCACCTTGACCCAAGAGCGATGAAGATCGGTCTCATCGAACCCAGTGATGACTTCCTCTACGAAGTAGCGAGTTGGACTGAACCTGCCTCGCTCCCTCAGCAACAGAGACGATTTGGCGTCGTCTAGTCCAGGACCCACGTCGAGAATTGCTTCCAGGTAACTGTTTATCCAGTCGTTCCCCGCCATTGCTGCAGACCTACTAGATTTCCGTCCCTCACTTGGTCACCGGTTTCCCGGAGAGAGTGAAAAAATGGGGAATTCACCACAGTCCGAAATTCGAGCTTCCTCTTCGTCAGGGTGTTGGAAAAAGTGGACTGCGGTTAAATATCATTGATGAATGGAGAGAGAGAGAGAGAAGAAGAGGGGAGTGGTAGAAGAGAGTGGAAACCGGAAAGAAGAAAAAAGAGCGGGTTTTATACACTTGCCATAGCTGCCTTGAAAGTTGAAACTCTTTTTTTTTTCTTCTGCAAATTTTCGCTTTTATTTATTTAATATTTTCCCCTTATCTTCATATTTTCCTGCATCTACTGCGAACCGTATATTTTTTTCCTCAAATATTCAGAGCTTAATTATCAACCCCTCAAAATGTTTGATTTCTTGACAATGATAGTTGTAATTTCTTGTAAGAGTATATTAGAGGAAATCGGGGAAATAATTATTCAGCAGAAAGTCTATGGATCTCCAACACCTTATCACTGCATTACGATTCGTAATGAGAAGGCTAATCTATTATTTGTTGAAAATTTTGTCAATTACGAATTACATTAAATTGATGTTATAAGTATCATAAATAAATGAGAAAATTCTTAATTTTTTAAAATATTACAAATGTAAGTTCATGATTATGGAATGATTAAGAAGCCTCACAATTCGATAATTATTTTAGGAAGTGAAATTCTTGGGTTTTATGTGATGGTTATGAAATTAACAATGTAAATTCCGCTCGCTTTCAAATTTCCTCAAATATGCAAATAGTGTGAGAGGGGGTATAAGGGTGTATTGAATGAATTTTTGTGAAATAACATTCCAAATTAAAACATTTCTCATGCGAGTATAACATTTTAATCACTTGATCTATGATATTGTTGACTTGCGATGTAAGGCTATAATCAGTTTGCGGGAATTGAAAATCTTGCACTACTTCCCTGTCATTTCCAATTTTCATGTTTTACACTAAAATTTCACATCCAATAGAAATAAACCTAAAATTCACATTTTTCAATTTGTTCAGTCTAACGACTCAAAATTCCTTTTCTTTATTAGAATAGGTACCAATCAAAGGCAATAAATTAATAATCAATTCTGGAGAATATATAATTTTAGTACCTATCATGTCACCCAATATATGAATACAAAACTTAGTATTAGTCAGATATGTATTTTATTTAAACGTCACATGAATTTTGGAGCACGAAAAAACTTATCTCATAAGTACTATCATGCATAAAAATAAATATGTGGCATGTATTTCATTCAACATAATAAAAGATGCAAGGATAAAATTACTATTTACCCTTCAATCTCACATATATCATTTCACTCACAATAGGTCCAAAACCTTAGGATTTATTTGATTATTTTTACCCCACTTTTATGTTAACCGAAAAATATGTTAAAATTGAAATAGAAATTCTATAAAAAGTGCAAATATTGGAAACCAAAAATACAATAAATTTCATAAATTCTATCAATTTTATACAAAAACGAATATTTCATAAACTTTGAAATAATTAATTCAATTCGCAACGTTAAGGAATATAGTGACATCGTGGTGGACAATTCGTGAATCGACATGAATGATTGGGAAACGATAGCAAAAATAATATTTCTTATATTCAAATAATAATAACGAAAATAAGATTTTGGAATCATTCTTTGTAATATTCCTTTGTGGCAGTGGAGAAGCTTCGACCTCTACGTTTCCTTTTCACCAAATCTGTCTCCCCAACCAAGAATCTGTGCTTGTTCCGAATATTATTTTACCAATACTAAAACTATGAGTGGTGGGTAATGAGTCGGTTTGGTGGATTTCGATTTCAACATAATGTATGAGATTGTTTTGGATGAGGCATTCAAGACGATCAATTTGATTCAATTGTTTTGTCTTGAAACGATTGAGCCAAATTGACATGTTTGGCTGCATAATATCTACATGAAGCAATTTAGTCTGGAAAATTTCGAACTTACTCATTTTGATACAATTACAATTGTTTGGGGTGAGAGTAGACAATTCGAATTGACTCGATTTAAATAATTTGTATAGTAAAATGAGACAATTGGCTCGTTTTACAATTGATCCATCCAAACAACCCCTATATGTTTACTAGTAAGTTGGTATTCGTAATCTAGCCACTTTTTGGGTTAGGTTGAGTGGGTCGCAAATGGGTGCGACTGGGTTATAGATGAACCTGCAAACACAATTCTCCAACAAGCAATTAGAAAAATTGACTCAGATTTATAACAAATCCATCGCAAATTAGAAAGACTAACAATTTAGACACCTCTCATTCTGTCTCTTGTGGATACATTATTTCATTTGATATTTGTGTCAAATCTTTCATCATTCTATCAACCAACTGTGTGGAGAAAGCGAAAAATGTGAGCAACTTTAATACTATCAATAGCTAATTTATTAAATCCAATTAGCATTACATAGCATAGTAACCAACAGTAGTACTCCAACATATTATCTATTTTTTTCGTTTTTATAAGCCAATGGTAGGTGTATATATAGTGCATTCTTCAACAATATAAACTAAACAACTTTTTACATGTGAAAAACGACAAGCAAGTACTCCGAATGACGGGCAACCCATCCATCACCAACACGAATAAGTGTGTATAGAAGTATCACCAATCCACAATCCACCCACATCAATTTCCTCTTCACTACGATATGGGTCATTATCAAGTGAATCAATATCAAACCACAAATCAACCACCCATCATATGCACCCTAACTAAATTACGAATTGAAAAACTGACCTGGAAACTGTGCTTAACTCATATTTAATTACAAAGAAATCATCGTAACTAACATAACAAAATTACGAATCAGAAATGCCGAAGATGTGGTCAGGAGGATTTTTCCAGAGAGATCACATCTCAGACTTCTCAGAGCAACTTCTATTTTCTCTTTTATTAAAAGGGGAAGAAGACAAAAGAAGGAATAATTAACAGTTAAACAACTAATCAACATGCAATCAGCAGTACACGTGGCATTTTCCAGCGGGTTAATTAAATAGTAAACACATAATCTGGTACGTTACAGCAGACAATTGTATATGTGACAACACAACACAATTTGTCTGGTCAGTCGACACGAACCAAACCTTTCACTATTATTATTGTACCAAGAGAAAAAAATAAAAAAAATAAACGGCCTCTGTAGGTCCAAGTTGCTCACCTGATCATACATCTGGACCAATCAATCACCAACCAAAACAGAACAGAATGATTTGATTATCATCATTCTCCTAGAATCATAGAACCACAGGAAGAAAGTAAGACAATATAGAAAAGTAAAGTACTGCTGGTTGTTGACAATACTATGATTGTTCATGGTTGTCAGAATAGATTTCACCCAGAAAACGAACCATCAAAGCTAGTTCCAATCAAGATGATTCAATTTGCCTGTTGAATAGAGTAGGCGTGCTTATGTTGATAATGAATGTAAATACACCTCAATTGCACATACTGAGTAGCGGTATTCGATTTGTTTATCCTGTTGTCTTGCATCCCATTTGCAAGACACAGGAACTCCGATCACAAATCGAAAGAACTTTATTCAACAAAATAGCCAAATTCGTTGTTCCAACGCAGGGGTGTCAGTTTGGTTCGGTTAATCGAGCCAAAATCATTAAAACCCGAAAAATCAAATGTTTCCCAAAAACCGAACCCAATAAGGGGCTTGTCGGTTTTTGGTTAACCGAAATCGATAAGCCCCTACAATTTCAGTTTCAGTTAGACCAAACCGAAACCAATGCACCCTTTGTAATAGTTTCAGTTAGAGCAAGGTTTGAGTTCGATTTCGGTTCCTCATCAATTTGCGGTTCCGAAACCATTAAAATACAAACCGATTAGGAACCAAAAATCCGAAACTGAAAAGATTCTTATCCGCACAATTTTCGGTTTAAACCGAAAAAATCGAAGCTAGTTTCCCAGCCCTATTCAAGCGTATGACCTGTCAAAACCTTTCGCTTGAAATTGACTAAAGAACACCTCTGGTATAGTGACCTCCTAACGACTACTAATGAACCTTCCCCAAGACCTTGCAAACAAAAAGAAAGTCCTGAATCCTTACGAGGCGCATTGTTATTCATTTTCAGATAACAAACCACCTAAACTCTATACTGAAATCTCAATCAGTTATCATTCTATTTAAGTCACAGCAATAATATACATTCAATTTGTGACCAACAATCCACGTATCTCCTGTTCCACAGTGCAGAGCAGGAAAGAAGTGGCTGATGCAATGGACATGTGAATATGGGGGGACATGGGCTCGTGATTCCATTCCCAACTAATGTTGAATCAATGAATAGGTTATAAAATTAGGACAGCCAACAGAAGGAAGGTTGAAGAAAGAGATCAGATTCGATGTTCCAGCACTTCTCAAACGAACATGATTAGATTTGATTGATGAGAGATCCAAACACAGGAATAAAGCTACCTAAACTCAGAAATTTGATTCACTACACCTTTTTGTTAAGAGGCTTATCTCTTTTCCCTTTCCTCTCCTGTTCATAAACGCAAGAACCGTGTTCGCCATATAGTTTCAATGTGTATCGTTCAATTTTTACATGCTTCTGATCCTAAGGTACATAATTCCTTATATAAAGAGCATGGGAAGATTTATATCTCGGTTTCGGATTTACCAATTTTACCTCAATTATTCTGAGCTTGAACAAGGCTGCATGCTTGTGAGGATCAAGTTGAGTGGCGTCGGTGGAATCCAGAACAGAAATTCGGTAATGATCAAAGGAACTGCTTCAGGAACTCTGTAGCCACCAGCCTCCCTCTGGTGTTCACCGACATTTTCAGGTCGCTGATCTCCTTGTCGATATCCTGTAGTTTGAAAAAAAAAATGATGGTGGTTATATTCTCAGGTGAAGCCAAAAGTGTCAGAACTCAGAAGGACTCACATGGTGTAAGATATAATGATAATGATCTATAGGTGGTGCACTATATCAAACAGAGGGAGCCGCAACATGTTTTCCGTTGTAGTTTGCCAAGATTGTGAAACACGGGCACATAAGGGAAATATTGTGGATTATCAAGAGGCCAGACTGTACCGCCAGCATTGAGCTATTGAAGAAAGTGTTGTCCAATTAATTTCTAATAGAAATTTCTTCGAATGTAATGGGGTAGAATGACAGAGATACCCAGAGGACATTCAAAAAGCTCAAATGACAGGCTACTGTGTATGTACTAATTATAAAATTTGTGCTGAAAATAGAGAGAGATAAGAGGATACATTTTGGTAAGGTCATGCAAATTTTGACAGAACCTTCTCCCGAGTAACCAGGAAAGCAAGGAAAGAGAGCCCTCGGCATCTAGATAATCATACTCCGGATCAACTAGCTAACTGAGTAGGACCAAACAATTATCTTCTAACAACAAATTCAGATAGCAATGATGAGTGAAAGAGAAGGCCAATGTTTAATTTATTACCTCCATGAATTGCACGATGAAATCTATGAGCTTTTGCTTCTGCATTTCCTCGCAGTTGTAGTTTGTGACAAGAAAGCTAATATCATAACCCTGTGAGGTACCAACACGAAAAATTTAGAAAAAACTGGAGTCTGCATATCATCTACTATCTTACCCAATCCTAATAGCAGTCTCAATCTGAAAAAGAGAATTCCCAACTCACCTGTATCGGCTTTCGTCTTAGCACTTGAAATGCTTCTGCCCTTATTGACAAAAATCGAAGGAACTTTTTCGTCAGTATGTTCTCAAGTTCATCTGCCTGCTTCACCTGCCCAAGGTGAAAAAGCGAATATGAGCAGAAAACTATTGTTAGTGAGCAAACCTACCAAAATGCAGCATGTTACAATTTTCATTACCACCAATTGAGTGCATGAACAAATATCATTAAATGAGACCCCTTTGCTTTACCTTAAGGCTTAGTCGTAATGAATTGATCGATGTTTCTATTAAGCATCGTTCAGCCTCATTTCGACATATCAAAACCTGCAATAGTAAACAAACACATTCATCACATAAACCCAATATAGAGGGAGATGTAATTTCTCATGCCCCACCATTGCACATAGTGAGAGCAAGAACCTTACCGGATTCAGCAGAAGTTCAGAGCTTGTCCTGAAACAAACAAAGGAACTTATCAACACCTATGATAAAATGGCGCTCATTTGCCAATCACATCACATCACAACCAAACCAACTAATCTACCAACAGCGTTGCATAACACCACTGAATCCTTTATTGTGCTTCCCCCTCCACAACCAATTCCATATTCATTACAGCAGAATGAAAATTCTCAATAGAATGACAGAGCGGGGAAAAGAAAGGAAAAAGAAGCAAACAAACAGTACTTTAGTTCAACCTCTGGCTTGTTATGCCTCTCAACTTCTTGACAGGGGAAATTCTGCAAGCCAAATCAAACACTCCGTCAAAATCCAATCCATCACTTCCATTGCCATCACTCCCGCATAAATATGAACTGATAGAGCTCGATTCCAAACAGTACCTGCAGGCACATGGCCGCCTCTAGGGTGTTCCTTATGCACGTCAAATACAGCCGCAGCGAACTCGCCTGCAAGATTACCGCAGCTCGTAACAGCTTGCTCGTCAAAACGTTATCCCGAGCCAGTGCTCGGACACCGACCCGATCAGCCGAATTTTGATGCCGCAATTCCAATTTCTCGGAAACCAAAAAGGCGCGGTGAAAACGGAAATGAAAAAACGGTAGAGATCAGCTAGTACTGGAAGACTCACCATAACTGAGGCTTTACCGGCGGACAGGAAACCTCAGAATTTCTCCTTCCTGAGGAAAATGATACTATGGCCGTTCGTCTGAAGCGAGCGCCAAGAGACTTCAGAGCTCCGAATTGGGGTAATGGCGGACTGCTGAGTTCTGATCTTCCCGAAGGTTGGGATCTGTGCTAAAATGCGCTTCTGAAGTGTGATTTAAGTTAACAAGCGCGGTTAATCATTTTATCCACCAAAGCGTGAGTCATTTGTGTAAGCCCAAATGTACATGAGTTTAGGTCGAGGGATTGCAGAATTATAAAGCCCAAATAAGAGAAAAATGGGCTATAGTTTAGGCCCATGGACTTGTTGGAGTATATTCGTCCGTCGCTATCTTTTGTTTATTAATTCAAAGTCGGTCAGATTGAGGAAATTATTCAAGAACACGTGAAATTAGGTTTCACATTAGGATTGGTATCTTGTCAATTATTATGCGACCGATTTCTTGTCGTCTGAATCATGATTTATTTTTTATATTATTATTGCAATAGTGGTCCACAAGATTCTTTGGTTTTGTTCTTCAATTTTTTTCAAAATGACATAATGTAAGTTAACATTCAGAGAATCCAGCATTCTAATAAACTTACATAAAACAATAGTTAATATATCAAATATTTTGGCTGAGTATGCAATTTCAGTGGAAAAATGGTCTTTATGAGCTAAGCAATCCACTAATAATGGTCGAGGGATTGCAGAATTCTAATTATGCTCTCAATGCATATGAGGTGTTATAGCTATAACTTCTCATTTTCAACTACGTACTCTTTTTTTTTTTGTAGAAAGAGGGACGCTAAAGGGCGCCCCTGCCTGAAATTAAATTAACCGATCCTGGGTAATCCCCATAGTGTCATACAAGATCCAAAACTTGAGGCCCGAGTCCGAAATATCGAAAGAATGAGTGCCAAGGCTAAACCCATGGGCTTTATTAGCTAAGTAGTCTGCCGCTTTGTTGCATTCGCGGTAAGAGTGGGATAGATGAACCTCCCAGTTACGCTGTAGCAGGTTCTGAAAACGCCTAGTGAGGTTGTGATACCGCCTGCTATCTCGATCCTTTCCTGTTAAAATGGCCAGCGCTGCAGTAGAATCAATGTGGATGAGTACCTTCCTGTGACCTTGATCCCAAGCGAGTTGGAGTCCAGTGAGCGCCCCGACGATCTCCGCCCTTGTGATGGAGCAGCTTCCTAAGTTGGTGACGAAGGCTCCTACACATCGGCCAAGATGATTGCGGAGCAAGCCACCTGCAGCTGCCGCCAAGTTTGGGTGTTTGACAGACCCGTCAGAGTTGATAACGATCCAATCTGCAGGTGGTGGTTGCCATGCCAGTTCTTGTCTTGTTTTGTCCCCCGTCGTGTCGACGAGAAGCTTCCGATTATTGTCTTGTGCTTGCTTGATAACTGCAGCCCACGCTCGGATCCGATGCACCAGGATCTCCGATTCTTGAAATTTCTTCTCAAAGATCCAATCGTTCCTTCTTCTCCACAGGAACCAGGCCGTCACTCCAAACAACAGGTTTGTCCCTTCTTTCTTCAAATTGGTCGCCATCCAACCTGCAAAGTTCAAACCGTGTGTAAGGGGGGTCTCTATTAAGCCAAGGCGTTGCCATACCTGAGCTGCCAAGGGGCAGATTCTGATGACGTGCTCTGTCGTTTCTGGTCCTGACTTGCAGAACTCGCATGTGTCGCTGTCACCAAAATTCCTCCGCTTTCTCTCGCTATTTGTCATGAGGCGATTATGTAGGCAGAGCCAGAGGAAATGTCTTAATCGATTTGGTCCTGGCCATTTCCAGGCGCTCATCCACTTGGTGTGGTTGCCCTCAGCAGCATCTCCATGGTTATTTTCCTGCAGCCATTCCACCGCCACCTTGTACGCACTACCAATTCGAAATCTGCCGTCACTATCTTGTCCCCATATAATTGTGTCATCCCCTGCTTCTTGGAGGGGGGTATCAGTACCTGCAAGAAGAGAAAGAAACGTGTCAGGGAGGTGATTTTTGATAGTTCCCCAATTCCACTCACCTGATGAATCCACCATCTCCGCAACTGAGCTGTCCCACTCGATGGTGTGTTCATTGGTGACAACATGGTCCTTCAACGCCAGGCCAGCCGAAATCCAATGGTCTTTCCAGAAGTTGACGCTTCTACCATCCCTAATGTCCCAGATGGTGTTCTGTTTCAGAAGAGGTAGGGCATCCTTGATCCCCTTCCAGAGCCGAGAGACCCGCTGCTGGCGGAATGCCACGCTGCCATCATCGTTCTGCTTAACGTATTTTGCATGAAGTACCCTGACCCAGAGACTCTCGTCGTTGTTCAGGAATTGCCAACCCAGCTTCATTAGGTATGCCAAGTTCAGAGCTCTAGCTGAGCGAAGGCCAAGGCCACCCTCTTCTTTAGACTTGCAGACTGTCTCCCATGTGACAAGGTGTGCCTTATCCTTGCCATTATCTCTTCCCCAAACAAACCCTCTGATCTTCTTATCGATCTGATCACAGACATTGCAGGGCAAGACGGCAGTTTGCATGGTGTAGTTCGGGAGCGCATTGAGTACCGAAGTAGCCAATGTAACCCTTCCTGCTAGCGACAGGCTTTTGGTTTTCCAGCTCGCAAGCCTTCTATCTATATTCTCGAGGATATACTTGTAGGTTTCCTTCGTTACGCGCCCGTGGATAACTGGTACACCCAAATACTTGCCTAGATTGGAAGTACGTGGGATCCCCATTAGGCCACTTAGCCTGTTCTTGGTTTTTTCCTTAGTATTCCTTGAGAAATAGACTCGCGACTTCTCTTTGCTGACTTTTTCCCCAGACGCTGAACAAAATTGATCCAAGCAACTCATCACCACCCTGGCTTGATTGGCATCCGCCTCGGCTAGGAGTACAAGATCATCTGCAAAGAATAAATGGGTTAGGGGTGGTCCATTTTTAGATAAGCAGATCGGTTTCCATTTACCACACTCCACAGATTTTTTAATATTATGATTTAGACGTTCCATGCATAAAGTAAAAAGATATGGGGAGAGAGGACATCCCTGTCTGAGACCACGAGTTGGTTTGAACTCCTCGGTGCAGCTACCATTCCACAGGACCTGGAAACTGGCTGTCGTGACACAGGCCATGACAAGAGATATGAATTCCTGGGGAAAACCTGCAGCTTCGAGGGTAGACCGGAGGAAGCTCCAACTAATCCTGTCGTATGCCTTAGCCAAATCTATTTTCAGCACCATCAAGCCCTTCACACCCTTCAATTGGTTCATAGTGTGGATGATCTCTTGCAGGATGATGATGTTGCTGGTTATGTGGCGTTTGGGAACGAAGCTGGTTTGGTTCTCATCAACTAAATCCGGCATCAGCAACTTAAGGCGGTCAGCCAGGCATTTCGCAACGATCTTGTAGCTGACATTACATAGCCCAATAGGTCTGAATTGAGACATATTACTCGGGCTGTCCACCTTAGGCAACAAAGTGAGCAGTGTTGAGTTGCACCTTCTGATAGACTCGGGTTCCTGGAAACATCTAGCTATAAAGTCCCGGAGCTCGGCTTGAATGGTATTCCAGCAGCGTTTGTAAAAGATGGCATGGAAACCATCTTTACCAGGCGCTTTCAAGCTTCCCATGTTCCTGATGATGCTACGGATTTCTTCCACTGTAGGGACGGAAGCTAGCCTGCTGAGAGAGTTGGCCTCTGGAATCCTGATTCAATGTGGGTATGATCGAGATTCAATGTGGGTTTCAAGACCGCCCAGTTTAACGCTACTTCCGTCCTGGTCGTGCAAGGAATTTATGGTTACGTATATCATCAGGGACACAAATGTTTCGGAGTTATGGTGGATTGTGACTATTCTCTGGCTAGTCTCGCAAATTGATTCCAATCCGCTTGGTATAACCGATAGTTTCCCTCACTAAATGTCTATACATCTTGATATATTCGTTACAAAAGCCCTCAAATAAGCGGTTGTCTTGTGCCAGTTTAGTAGCACACCGTTCGTGCAACATCAGTAACAATCCCTTAAACATTCGTTGGAACATCAATCTCTCAAATGTACGATTAATAAAAGTTTCAATGCGTTGCAAATGAAAAATTAAACCAACAAAAGTACAATTAAAAGAAAACTTTTATTCTGGGTGGTATTTGAAGCATTGCAACAACATTTATTGTTTTAAATTTTAATTGGAAACCAATATCAAAGCCCAAAACGATTGAACATTGAAATATCACTAAACTAAAAGCCTTGTGGATCCTTAAATCACCCTTAGCTGTAAAACAATCGTGTGTATATATATATATATATATATTATATACTAGATGTGCTAGTAAAATATATGTGTGTTTGACAAGAGGAATTCAATATCATTTTTATATAGAAAAGTCAAAACAAAAGCTGGTTTGAGGCTTTGAGCAAGTACAATTGTACAAAGCCTTGAGAATGGCTGGATGTTCAACACTTGGTTTAGACGTTTAGTTGTGCAATTTCCACTGGTTAGTTTTCTTGGAAGTAAATTAAACTAGGGTTGGCAATTTGGTGGACTGTTTAGTTTTACCCGAAACCGGACTGTATAATCCGGATCGGGACCGGACTGGGACCAGATAGCAAACAATCCAATCTCATATTCGGGCTTAGATTTGAGGTAAAAAACCCGGATAAAGATCGGATAAGAGAACCCAACACTCAAATCCCCACAAGCTCAATCTAAAATAAAAATCAAATTGGGACCGGACCGGATCAAGACCGGAGTGTATCCAATCCAATCTTTGGTCCTTATATTCTCGAAAAAACCGAACTGAGACCGGATCAATTTGATCCAATTTAACCGGACCGAACCGTATAGCCACTTCTAATTAAAACCACAAACCGCAGACGGCCAAAAGGTTTTACTTGCAAGTGCAACACATCACTGTTGAGACTTGAGAGCCCACCATCCTCTCAACTCTCTTTCCTCCCCCCTTCCTTTTTTCCCCCTTCTCTTCTTCTCCATTTCTTTCTTCCTTTCAAACAAACGTCAGGCCGGTCAATCTCACGCTTCCCCATTTTCCCTCTTTTATTTCTCCTTCCCTAGTTTCCAATTCGATTTCTTGCTGTTCTCCAACAATTTCCCTCCACCTTCCGCTCCCTTCTCCGCCAACTCTTTTCTTTCTTCTCTGCCCACCATCTAATTCTGGACTGAAGTGGAATTGAGCTCAAAAGCTCAATTCTTTGCTCTTCCCAGCTCCTCTTGTTAAGTGGGTTGGTGTTCTGCGATTTTGTTATCTGGGTGCGGGTGGATTCGTTGAGCTTTAAGGAAAGGGTTGCAAGTTTGGAGCTTTGAATTTGATTCTATCTGCTGCAGCAAGTGGGGTTTGTTGGTTGCAATGTCAGTTCGATGAGTAATCAATCGAAGGGATATAATTAAAATTTTCAGGGGGCGGCTGCTGGGATTTGAGTTGAGGTTTTTGGCCTGGAGCTGACTAGGAAAGGGGGGAAAAGTCAATCAGGAGCTCAGTTTGAAGACTGACTTGAATTCAGGTCCATTGGTAATCTTTGAAGATTGAGTTTTCCGTGTGGAAGTTTGCAGAATTCTTTGGTTTGATTTCCTAAGTCCTTATGGGCAGCTCCGGATTTGTGGTTTCTTCAGTTGTTTCTTCCTTAGTTTTGGTCGTCACATGTTGAAACTAGCGATGTCCTCAATATGTTTAGATCATTATCAAAGATTGTTATGGAGAGATTCATTTCATTAAGAGTGATGGTCACCATATTGAGCCTATTGTTAGCTCTACAGTTTCAACAGATATCTGCCTCTGGGTCTAATGGGATTCAGTCAAGGGTTTGTGGTGCTGATCGCATTTCATATTCAAATAGTGTGGATGATGGAGTTTTCCTCATTAATGGAAGTGTTGTAGAGATAGATTCACTATGCAAGGCCCTCCGTTTTCACATAGCGAATGGCTGCATCCCTGCCGAAGACTACCTCGTGAGCCTCTGTCAATCGGGGTCCTCATTAGGTATCTGTTGATAGTATATTGGTTTGTTTCTTTTAAAATGGTGATCATGCTTGCTTGTAGTCCATTGTAGCTTGGAAGATACTCCTTAATTTTTAAGTGTTACTTGAGAGGTGCAGGTAACTCACATCACAAGCCAGCAAGAAAACTTCTACAAAAGGAGTTCAAGGAAGAAGTAGCCAAAGAACAGAAGGCAAAAGATCCCAGTAATACTCTTTCCTCGAAGCACATTGGGATAATAGCAACTGGAATTGTTGCGATGTGTTGTGGTGTGCTCTGCCCCTGTATATACAAGAGAAGGAAGGCTACTTCCCACACCGTTCTTTCCAAGGATCAAGTTTCAAGTGAGTCTTTTGGAACTCTTTTTCATGCTTAGCAGTTGATAGTTAGAGCTAAGTCCACTGTTTTCCGTGCTTAAGTTGATAGTTAGCTTCATTGTCTCTAAAATGGTGTCATGTTATTACAACTGCAGCGGAATCAGTTAATTCCTTTGATGCGCCGCCTTCTGTTCATGATAAAGTGCCTGCTAGTCCACTTCGCGTGCCTCCGAGTCCTTCTAGATTCTCACCGTCCCCTAAACTTTCTAGACTTGGGTCAGTTCATCTCAGCCCTAGTCAAGTCGCCAGAGCTACACGTAATTTCTCTCAGTCACTGAAGGTAGGTGAAGGAGGTTTTGGAACTGTGTATAAAGCTCACCTTGATGATGGGCAAATAGTTGCCATTAAAAGAGCTAAAAAGGTAAGACCTTGAACATTTGCCTAAATTCGAATCATTCTCTTTTGACTAGCGGAGTATCTTTTTTCAAGTACATGATGCAGAAGAATCCTATTATTTTGTTGCTGTTACTATGCATCATTTTGGTAGTTACTCAAGTGGGTACCTGAAATGAATAGTCTTTTGACCTATTCCTAATATACACAAAAAAAAAAAAAAAAAAAGATTGAGGACTGCTCTTTATTTTCCTGGAACGCCTTCCTTTATTTGCTCTTTACTAGATTAAGGACTGCTCATCACATGACAGGTGTAGTGTTCTTTTGTTAAAAGTCCTCCATGGTACAACTTATATGGAAATGTTGCCGATGGACGCGGGCTCCTCTCATGATTGGTGTATATAGGCTTTCCATATCAGAGACAGTAACAGCAACTAACTAATTCACAGGATGTTGGTGAAGTTGTAGGAGATAGGAACAGGTGAAATGCTTGTATGAAAACGGGGATGCTGAACAGTTTTAGTACTATAATCGCTTATATCAACGATATCTTTTTCCACAGTTCCATAGTTTTTCCCAACTGTCAGTTTTTCTCTTCAGGAATTGTTGTAGGCCATGTTCGTTGTGTTCCTTCTAATTAGCTCAATCCCGTTTGTCCTGAACATTATTTTGGTTAACTTTGCCTCACACTGTGTAGGAACACTTTGAAAACTTGCGAACAGAATTCAGCAGCGAGGTTGATCTTCTGGCAAAAATTGATCACCGAAATCTGGTGAAGTTACTTGGTTATGTCGATAAAGGACACGAGCGCCTTATCATCACAGAGTTTGTTCCAAATGGCACCCTCAGAGAACACTTGGATGGTCAGCGTGGGAAAATTCTGGACTTCAATCAACGGCTTGAGATAGCCATCGATATTGCCCATGCTCTTACTTATCTCCATCTATATTCAGGTTGATCGAAAGCCTTAACTTTTTTCACTTAGTTCCATAATGACTATGCAAGTCCTAATGCTCAGTTCCATGACAGAGAAACAAATCATCCATCGAGACGTGAAATCGTCTAACATTCTTCTGACGGAAAGCATGAGAGCCAAAGTTGCTGACTTTGGATTCGCGAGGTTGGGTCCGGTGGACTCTGACCAAACACATATCTCCACCAAAGTCAAAGGCACGGTGGGATACCTCGATCCTGAATACATGAAGACATATCAGCTCACCCCTAAGAGCGACGTGTACTCATTTGGGATACTACTCTTAGAAATCCTCACAGGCCGTCGTCCTGTGGAGCTAAAGAGACCTGCTCCAGAGCGAGTGACTCTTAGATGGGTAAATCATCTTTTTAGCTCGAACGAATCAAGTTTCCTTGAAACCTTGTGAGTTCTGACGAATCAATGTGTTGAAGGTTTGAACTACTCATTTTGCAGGCATTCAAGAAGTACAACGACAATGCTGTGGTGGAGATGGTGGATCCGTTGATGGAGGAAGTTGTGGACGCTGGCATATTGAGAAAGATGGCGACTTTGGCGATTCGATGTGCAGCTCCCGTTAGGCATGAGAGGCCTGATATGAAAGCTGTGGGAGAAGAGCTGTGGGGGATAAGAGCTGACTACCTCAAGAGTTCGAAGCGAGGGTAGAAAGAAACACGAATCATGTCACAGTAAAACAAATGAAAGAAAGTCGAGTCAGGAGTCTTATGAGCATCCTCTTTCCTTGCACAAGCATCCCACATTGTACAAACAGACTTGTATTTTATCTTTGTCAAAGGTTGATTCCCATTTTTGGGGCATTGTATCATTGGCTTGACTGAGCTCGATACAGAAGCTTGGCTGTCTATGGTTACATTATTCTTAGCCTTGAAGCAAGCTTTGGCTTCTCATTGCCTCTAGTTTGGCCAAAGCTCATATTGCAGTCAATTAGAGCCAATATTGTTGCTGTTGTACCGAAACCAAATTGGTAAGTCTACACATAATATAATACGCCGAAGAGAAAAACGGGAGTTCCATTTCAAATTTCCTGCAACGAGAGTGAAAGTAGGAAGGACATTTTGGTCTTCACAATTACTTTTTTTTATTCATTAAAAAGACACATACTGGGATTCGAACCATGACCATTTTAAAGAAAAGCAAGGATAATAACCAATCACACTAAGCACATTTGTTGTATCTTTTTAAATTAAAAATATATAATAGCAGGGAGGAAAAAAACCCTTTCCCCATTTCAAATTTCCTGCTCCATGAGCGTTTGTAGGAAGGGTAGAATAGGGAGTGTCAATTTTTTTTCTCTCCTCTGTGGAACGGGCCAACTTACCGTACACATGTGAATTTAAACGGGTCCAGGAGTGTCAATTTTTTTTCTTTAAGCCCTTTTATTTCTCCGTGGTGACAAATATATATGAAAAGGTAAAAATAATACTCCTTTTTATTGTTAAAAATAAAACATTTAACAATAAACTAATGCATGGTATCTAATGGGCTAACCGCCAACCATAAAATAAAAGAGTTGAATGTGCCTGACCTACATGGGATTTGGCCATCAAGTAAAATAAATGAACATCATTGGTTTGTCATTCTAAAATAAGCTAATTTCTCTGACATAATATATATTATGCTATTATTTTATATCTTAGTGGCTAAAATATAATGTATTTTAAAGTTATTCAATGGTTCAACCTCGAACAACACAATTAGTCCAATTTTTATCATTTCAAATATATATTTTATAATTATTTGATATCATAATGATCAAATTATAGTGTATTTTATAGGGAATCGTTTGGTATTTTTAGTAAAAAATTAAACATAAAGATCTATTTGGTTATTTTAAACATTATAACGATCCTAAACATTTTCAGTTCCTTTTGAATTTCTATGGTTTTATTCCCGAATAAGTGATGTGCAAATGGCGAATTGTAGTCGTCTCTTTTCTTTCACTATTTTTTATTTTCAAATAGAAAGTTTAAAAGTAAAGAATAATTAGAATTTGGCATGGGTCGTCAAACAGGCTGAATTTCAAGTTTTGGCCCGTTTGTTTTATGCATTGCAAATTTATTAGCATTTTGATGGAAATGGCTTGGAAAAAAGACATATAAGTTGTACCTTTGCAGAAATGTCCTCAAATGTTTTAATGCTTTGTGAATCAGGTTCCGTGACTTTTGTGATGGTGTATGTGCTTGACAATTGCTCGATGTTGTAACTGCTTAATTTGAGAGTAAATCTTTTGATTTTCCCTATGAGTTGTGATACCAGTTCTGGTGGTTGCAGCATGTTGTCGTTGTTGGCCTGTAAAAATTGTTCCGCCGTGGTGCTAAATACCTTTCTTTCCTTTTTAACAAATTGTGTAGTAGTGCTATGAAACAGACCACCCATGAACGCTACGCTTATTATGGTATGTTCTTACTTCCGGTGGTGAGAAATTGTGAATTGAGAATCATATTCGCCTACCGCACTGTGTCTGGCTGGTGGCTGCTTACTGTGCTCTCTAGAGTTATGAAACAGACTACCCATTAACGTTTCCCTTAAGAGTACATAACTTTTGCGAAAAACCAAATTTAGGCAATCAAAGGTGGTGGATGTGTGATGATTTTTTATGGCTTAATTGTTTGTGAATTGGATATCTGATCTTTGTATGATTGGAGGGGATGTTTGCTTAATAGAATAATCCATTTTAATTCATGGTTATTTTTAACATGAACTTTAGTAACTCAAAACCTTTGAGACACATATCACCTACTGCATTGTATCATTTTGCCTGGGTGCTTGCTGTGTTGTCAAACTTCTTTGTTGCTGGTGCTGCTTTTACACTAACAGGGGAGTTAAAAACCCATGAATGTTTCCGTTTGACACAAACAGGAGGACTTGCTTCTAAATCGTGCACTAAAGATGATTGGAGGAAACATCTCTATTGCAGTTGATATACTAGAGACCAGAACAAAAGCAATGTATAGCATCAAAACCAACCATCTGAACTATTAGCATTGTTGCTTTACTATTTTTTCGTGGTTGAGTCTCCTTCAAAAAATTTAGTTTGAATTTAGAAAATTTTGCTTCTGCAGTCCTGTCTTGCCACCAACGCGTTCAGTAGATGGAGATGGCAGAGGCGAAGGCTATTTTTGTGTTGTTGTTGCTGGTTTAGGGATCGGTTTGTGAAGAAGAGGGAGAAGAGAGAGGGAAAGGGAAAGGGAAATGCAGGAGAGGGGGGTAACTCTTTTCTCTGACAAAAATGGAGTGAAGAAAGGAATTATGATTAGTAAGGATATGGTTATCTTACATAACGGTCTCTATTCTGTTTGAATTGAGCTTGGGAGGCAGTGATAAGGACGAGCTGCAATCAATTCATAGTGAGAAGAGAGCTATGAACTGTGATCATGTCTTATTTCAAGTTAGAAGGTAGTTTCAGTATAAGGATTATTTAATTTGACAAGTTGTTTCGTCCATGATTCTTGGTAGTTTCAGTGCCATTCTAGCCATTGTTTAGTTTGTAATTTTTGAGAATTGATGTGCGAGTAATGACTTTCACTTAGCTTCAACTATTATGTGTGTATTTATTGGCATGTGATAGAAATCTCTTTTCATTTTCTTTGAATTCAGTTTCATACTCTAATTGTATCATTTGTACATAGGCAAATCATGCTCGAGATGACAACTCGCTGATAAGGCTGGTGCAAGGAACGAAGCCATCATTAGAATTCATACCGACAACGGGGAGGGATGCACAGGACTAATTCAATGATGATTGATGATGGTATAATAAAAACTGCAGTCTGCATCAACACCAATTTCTAGGCCTAAGTAAAGTTATTCAACCCAGAACTATGCTTAGCGCTAAAAATTTCCCTCACCCAACCTTGATCCTGTTTGACCCACTTCTGAAGAGTCAAGATATACGAATATGACTAATCCTCTCCGTTCGTATTTTCTTATTGACTCTTTCTGACCCTTTAGGTTGGGGCGGGTCGGGAAGAATCGAATTAGTGGGTCGGTTCTAATCAAGTGGAATCCCAATCCCTTCACTCTCACTTGCTTTCTCTCCTATTCCACAAGTGGGTAACATACAGTAATCCGGCCAACGGGCCGGGTAATAGGCTAGTTATTAATGTAATATGAATTGTCTAAGTCCTGAACAAATCAGTCATCCAACTTCGATACCAATGAACTTGTTTCAACTGCAAATACCGAAGAGTGACTACTATGGTTAGTTGTTCCGAATTTCAGTGCATACAAATTTGTTAAAGGAACAAAGTGAAGTGATGAATCAAGCAATGATCTCAAAGATTCGTGATCAATTCTGTAATTGACCCTACTTCTTCTCCCTCCCTCGTTCTTCTCGCTGTTAGGTTTCCATACAAAAGAAAAATTCAAATATCCAGTTGTAGTATTCTGGTGGGTCTTTGGTTTCTTCGCTTTTGCCACAGTCGACTTTCAATTCTTCTTCTTCTTCCAATCTTCCTTCCTCTCTGATTCTCCAGCTGCAACTTGTCTGGCTCTCTTTCTTCAGGTAATTCTGTTTCCTTTCGCTCTTCTACATTGTTCTTCGAGGTAGTGCAATCACTGAATCAAAATGCGCCGCGGCGAAACTCCATGGTCACCAATGGAAAACCCTGCTCTAGAATCTTGAAAAGTTTTATACTTTAACGGTTTCAGTGCTCGAATTCTGCTACGCTTCTAATGAAATGTCTTCATTCGTGCAGAGACTGATGAGATTCTGCTGTGTAATTAAAGAAATAGACTGATCAATTCAAATTTCTGTTTTGTCGGTTGAGAGATGATTCTTCAAGCAGGAGCTTCTTCATGCTTTAGCTCAATTCTACCAGGCCCAATCTCGTGCTCCAATCGCCAATCCTCGTCTCTAAGGACTTCCAATTTCATCTCAATTAGAGATAGGAATGGTAGAACGGGTGAGTTCCATGACTTGCATAAGGAGCTAGTCCCTTATGCTGAAGCTTGGAAGTGGCAAAAGGACATTGTTGCAGAGAAAAAAACCCTGATTGAAACCAACCAGGATTGCCCTGATACATTGATTGTCCTCCAGCACCATCCTGTCTATACTTTGGGTATGGGTAGTTCATTAGAGCACCTTAATTTCGACATGGATGATGCTCCATTCGATGTTTATCGAACCGAGAGAGGCGGAGAAGTTACGTATCATGGACCTGGACAGGTACTAACTAACTGTCTTTGAAAACTTTCAGAAGGCTTCTCTCAGTTTTGTCAAATGCTTTAATGATGTTTGTTGTGTTCACTTACAGTTAGTTATGTACCCAATCGTCAATCTCCGAAACCACAAGATGGACATTCATTGGTACCTCAGGGCGCTCGAGGAGGTGATCATTCGTGTTCTCTCATCGGCATTCTCTATCGAGGCTTCCCGAGTGGATGGCTTGACTGGAGTGTGGTTTGGTATGATCTTGCTGTGCGTTCTGGATGAACTTGTGTGAGATCATGAATATGTGAAAGCGTGAAACTTCTGCCATTATGTTTTCAGGCGATCAGAAACTGGCTGCTATCGGGGTGAAGGTTTCTCGGTGGATAGCATACCATGGAGTTGCGCTGAATGTGACCACAGATTTGGCTCCTTTTGAATCGATAGTGCCTTGTGGGATTAAGGATAGAAGGGTTGGCAGCATCAAGTCATTGCTGGGTTTAGATGATGATACTCAGCTGATTGAGACTGCTTATAAGTCATTGATTAAGGAGTTCTCTGAAGTTTTCGATCTCGGAATCGACCAAATAGCTTATTCATCCATTTTGGATAAAGATTAGAGCTCTCCTTCAACCTTGGCTTATATCAAACATGAATACAAAAGTGTAATGGAACACATACACCGGCATTGCTTGACATTATTGGTTTCCAGAAATGTGCTCATACTTGCAATTCTTTTACAGACCGGGGAGCTGTGGCCTGTGAGATGCCTTGCTGGACACTCAAAGGTCTTATATTTTTTGCACTCTTAGCAGGTTTATTCATATAGTGGCACGAAATACCCTTTCCACCATCGCTATTTTCGGGATGGAGTACCAATTGGTTGCTGTGTTGTAGTTGCCCTTATTGTATTGTGTATCTGGATTCCGCATTTGACACACATCCAAAATCCTGGCACCAATTTGTGGACCAAAAGAATAATTTGTTTCTCCCAGGAAAAAAGATAGTCTGTTGACTTGTTAAGCTGCAAACTTGCCTCCGTACAGAAAGAAAAGTCTGCTCTTCTCTGGTCCTTTTCTGATGAATGTACTAGGTAGTTGCATCATTAATGAATAGTACTGTAAAAGTAGCATCCGATTGACTGATGAGAATGTCCACTCTTATAGTCTTCTTCCTTCCCCAGTTTCTCCAACTTCACCTCATCTTTCTTGTTCTGCTTCCGGTTTGAAGAAATGTCCTTCTTCGTTGGCTTAGTCGCCGGTATAGTTTTCGGTTTCTCTCTGGTGGTTGCATTCCTCCGGTCACAGAATGCACGATCTCAGCATCGAACGGAGCTTGTCAGTGATGATTGTTTGACCTCAAGCTTGAATTCGTAACCTTGGTCTTTGATCTTTTATTTTTCCTTTTCCTTTTCCTGATGGAGTAGTGATCATGTTTCTCAGGCCGCAGCAGTGGCAGCGTTTGCCAGGATGACGGTGGAGGACTGCAGGAAGCTGTTTAGGGTGGCGACGACGACGACTTCTGAGTGCTATTGCCCTTCTTGGGTGGACTTCTCCAAGCCCCAAAAGGTGAGGTGAAGTGATTAACCATATCCAGAGTTGGTATTTCCCTGATTTTGGCTGGGATTTGGCGCAGTTGAAATGGCTAAACTCTTATTTGACCATAGTCTGGCCTTATATCAACGAGGCGGCAACTGAGTTGATAAAGAAGTCTGTTGAACCTACTCTTGAGCTACACAGACCGGCCATGGTTCTGTCATCTCTCAAGTTCTCCATCTTCACTCTTGGCACAGTTGCCCCTCAGTTCACAGGTTGGTCTTCTTCTTCTTCTTCTTCTTCTTCTTCTTCTTCTTCTTCTTCTTCTTCTTCTTCTATTAGCTATGATACAATACATACTTATTGTGTGTGATTCATATCCATTTAGGAATTTCCATTCTGGATTCTGATAGCATTGGGATGACCGTGGAGTTGGAAATGAACTGGGATGGAAGCCCTAACATAGTTCTTGATTTGAAGACCAGGTTTGCCGGTATTTCACTGCCTGTACAGGTATTTAACAATGCATGTATTTGTAATTTTGAACATGAAATAGTGGTTTTTGAAATACAGTGTAATCCACATATATTATTTGAACATATGTTTGCAATTATTAGATATTTCAGATTGTATGATTTTTGTTTTAATCTGAAGCTTTCTGACCAAGCATGAATTTTTAGGAAATTTAAATTTCTTTTTATAATTTAAGACCTAAAGTTTGACATTTTTATAAACACGCCCGAAAATGTTGGGCGGGAAAATTACTTTTTACTACCTTGATAAATTTAATTTTTTGCATTATAGTACTTGTAGTTCTAAAATTTTAAGAACAAATCATATCGGATGCTATGAGGAGGTTTCGACTTTGGAATCATCGTTCGGTTGATACGTCCAGGTGAAAGATATCGGATTCACTGGGGTTTTCAGGCTGATCTTCGAGCCGACGCTTGAGGAGCTTCCTCGCTTGGGGAACATTCGTTTTTCTCTGAGACAAAAGGTTAATTAGCAACATCTCTAATTAGTTTTTCTTCTAGTTTCTAATTGCTTAGTTACAGACCTCTCTCATAGTTGACAACCTAAAAATACTGAGTTGACAAGATGTGCTCTCGCATATATATTTGTGCAGAAGAATCTCGACTCTCACCTTGAAATTGGAGGCGATGAGTTCACATCAATTCCTGGACTGTTTGGTGCTCTAGAGGTTCAGTAATTAATCTTGGAACTCATTGTGTCACCTAAAAATCAAATCACCAATGCCACTAATCGTTTTAATTTCTATAACAGGATATTATAGGCAATGCTATTGCTAACTCATTTACATGCCCGGTGCGAACAATCAATCTGTGGAATCCCCTTCCTGGAATATCTGATGCTCTAGAGGTTCGTGACTATTCATCCCTTCTCATATTTGTTTGGTGAATAATTCAACAGTTTGCGAATAATTCGAGTGACTAAACATGCAGGATGTCATAGACAGTGCTATTGGGAACTCCATTACTTGGCCGATACGAAAGATCGTCCCTGTTCTATTCAAGTCTCGCAATCCATCGATCCCCCGGTTGCCGAATCCCCAAATCCAGCTCTACGTTGCGCTGACAGCAAACAGCTATATAATCCGAACGGCAAACGATTATCTACACCGGAAACCTCAGTCCGACGACGGCGAACCCATCCTCGCACTCGAAGGGAATGAACCTAATCCGGCAGCGGTGGGGTTGGCACGGTGGCAGGAACAACTCGTTATGCTGGCAACCCAGACAGCACGCATTTCGTTGAGGATGCTGGTAGCAGCTTTCCGCAACGGAACCTCCCGCCCGATCTGGTCATCCGCTGCTGAGCTCTGTGATTTGGGTCGTGATTCTGACAATGCCACTGTCTATCTTCGAAGAGCGAGAGCCTTAGCGGATCGGCTTGCAGCTGTTGGACTCCCTGTCTCGGAAGAGAAATTGGTGCGTAGAATCCTCCGCGGACTCGGCCTGCACTATCGGCCGTTCGTTCGATCTGTCCTCGCCCGGCCGTTCCCTGTGACGTACGAGGAATTACATGGCCTGATTCTTGAGCTCGACGCGAAACTTCCCTCGTCATGAAAACTTACATCGAAACAGGAATATGAAGGGCAATTGTTGTTGGTGATAAGGATATATGTTAATTATTTAATTATTATAATTTGTTTAGGTAGTTCCTACTTCTTAGCTCCACTACTCCTATTCCTTTGCTACGTGCAATTGTTTCTGTTGTAACTTTGGGTATTAAACCCACAATTTGATTCAATGCCAATCACATCATTAAGCATTCACATGGTATCAGAGTTGTGCTCCGATCTCCTTAACCCTACAAACTCTTCTTCCTGAAATTCTTCTGCCCCTTTCTTTCTCCTTCCCCGCCGATCACCATGACACAAAATTCTGGTGAATCTGTTATCAATCTAGATAATTCCAACACAATAATAACTCTCAATCCCGCTGCTCAGCTGCCCAACAAGCTCAATGGTGAAAATTTCCCTACCTGGCGTGCGCAGCTCGTCACTCTCCTCAGAGGCCTGGATCTCCTCAAATTCCTTGATGGTTCGCACCCAGCCCCGGCCTCCGATGCTCCGGCCGTTGAGCGCACTCACTGGTTTCGTCAGGACCAGCTCCTTCTCCATTCTATCCTGGCATCTGTCACTCCCGGCGTTGCACCATATGTTACTGCTGCTGAATCCTCTCGCGCAGCCTGGCTAATTTTGGAGCGGATGTTTGCTAGCCAATCTCGGCAGCGTGTTATGAATCTCAAGGAGAAGCTTGCCCGCGAGACTCAAGGCTCTCGTCCTGTCGCTGTTTATCTCCAAGTTCAGCGCTCTACCGCGGCTGAGTTAGCTCTTGTTCAAGCCCCGGTTTCGAATGAAGACCTCATTCTTCATATTTTGTGAGGTCTCCGTGAGGAATATGGCCCCCTCTCTGCTGCTATTCGCGCCCGCGATACAGCCATCGCCCTCGAGGATCTGCATGATCGTTTGGTCGACTTCGAGGCTGATTTTGCGTCCCACCGTTCACCTTCCATGCTGGCTCCCACGACCGCCTTCTCTTCCTCTCGTGGTCGTTCTTCCTCTCGCGGCCGCGGCAGTCCGCGGCGTCCTCAGCAGGCCCAGAACTATTATGATTCTCCTCCCCGTGGTGCCTCTCACTTCCGTGGCTCCTCCAGCCCTCCGGTGTCCTCCTCTGCGCCGTCTCTTCTCGGCAGGCCACACTTGTTGTGCCAATTTTGTGATAAAGCAGGCCACACTGCCAAGGACTGTTTCAAGATTAGAGGCCGCCCCTCTATTCATCATACTGCCACTACTGGTGCTTCTTCCTCAGGCTGGCTACTTGACTCGGCGGCAACAAATCATGTCACCCCTGACCTTGGCGCTCTATCTCTCTATACTGACTACAATGGCCCCGATGAGGTCCTCGTAGGTGATGGGACAGGTCTGAAAGTCACTCATGTTGGCTGCTCTTCTCTCTCAACTTCTTCCTCCCGTTTACAACTTCAAGATGTTCTTTGTGTTCCGGCAATTAAACGTCGGTTGCTCTCCGTTGCCCAATTGTGTAAAACTAACCCGGTTTCGGTGGAATTTTTCTCTGATTGCTTTGTTGTGAAGGACCTAGCCACGGGGGCGCCTCTTCTTCGCGGCCAGAATAGGGACGATGTGTATGAGCTGCCAGTGGATTCCTCACCCGTTCGTCTTGCCTTGTCCACTGTCACAACTTCCGCCGCCACCTGGCATCATCGCCTTGGTCACCCAAATTCCAGATTAATGGCTCGTTTGCTTCGTCATCAATCCCTCCCTACCTCTCGTTTTCCCTACTCTCTTTCCTGTGAGTCTTGTTCGCTTCATAAGAGTCATAAACTCCCCTTTGATGTTTCTACTTTGACGAGTTCCCGTCCTTTTGATTTACTGTTCATGGATGTTTGGGGTCCCTCCCCTATTCTTTCTGATGATTCTTTCTTATATTATCTCGTCATTGTTGATCACTTTACTCGTTACACATGGTTGTATCCGTTAAAACGCAAGTCCGATGTGTACCATGTTTTTACGACATACACCACTATGATCACCAATTATTTCCACACCACTATTCGCCGCGTCTTTAGCGATGGTGGTGGCGAATTTCAAAAACTATGCGCCTTCTTCCAACAACACGGCATCACCCATTTGCTAACCCCTCCACACACTCCTCAGCACAACGGTCTCGCCGAACGTAAACACCGCCATGTGGTGGAAACTGGCCTCTCCCTCCTTCATACCGCCTGTCTACCTCTTTCTTTCTGGCCCCATGCTTTTCAAACTGCTACTTATCTCATAAATCGCCTTCCCTCTTCTTCCCTTTGTGGCTCCACACCGTATTTCTCCCTCTTCAATGAAACGCCCAATTACCTCAAACTTCGTTCGTTCGGTTGCCTATGCTACCCCTGGCTACGTCCGTACTCTCCCCACAAGCTTGCTCCTCGCTCCCGCTCTTGCATCTTTCTTGGTTATTCCCTCACCCAGTCTGCTTATAAATGCTATGATCCCTCCACCAAACGGATCTTTGCCTCCCGTCATGTTGAGTTTGTTGAATCCACCTTTCCTG